GTCAAGAGATGGAGACCATCCTGGCCAACATGGTGAAACCCCATCTCAACTTAAAAAAAAAATACAAAAATTAGCTGGGCATGGTGGCAAGTGCCTATAGTCCCAGCTACTCTGGAGGCTGAGGCAGGAAAATCGCTGGAACCCAGAGGGTGGAAGTTGCAGTGAGCCGAGATCGTACCATTGCACTCCAGCCTGGGTGACAGAGCAAGACTCCGTCTCAAAAAAAAAATTATATTAAACAATCTTTATTTGAAAAATAGTACCATACATTCCTAATACTATCTAACTTCAGTAAGAGCAATTTCGGCAACAACTAGTGACCAGTAGCTAAACTTATAGATATCAGTCAGAAGTGCTTTAAAGGGAGGAGCACTGACTGATGTTCTGCTGAGTCTCTGGGCATTCAGGACCCAGGGAAAACAAAATCAAAGCGGCAGCGGTGAGAGCTGAGAGCTGAACCGCCCCATTAGAAAGGCAGCGCCCGGGCCTCCAGCGATGAGCAGAGTGACTCGGCCTCTATCTCCCCGTCCCTCGGGAGCACGGTGAGCTCCTCCCCAGGACCCACTTCTCGGCTTCCCTTCACTGGACTCCCACCAGGCCCCCACCGGACCATGGTGGTGACCTCTCTGGCCGTGCCAGGGACTGGGTACAGAGAGGGGAGGGGCAGCCAACGGGCATGAGGCAGGCAGGCAGCCTGTGGCCTCTGGGCACATCCTGCTCTGGCCAAGACACCTCCTCAGGGCCCAACCCCAGCCCTGCTATGGCCCTCCATATAGTTTTTTTTTTTGAGATGGAGTTTCACTGAGTCACCTAGGCTGGAATGCAGTGGTATGATCTCAGCTCACTGCAACCTCCACTTCCCAGGTTCAAGCGATTCTCCTGCTTCAGTCTCCCAAGTAGCTGGGATTCCGGGTGCCCACCACCATGCCCGGCTAATTTTTGTATTTTTAGTAGAGATGGGATTTCACCATGTTGGCCAGGCTGGTCTTGAACTCCTGACCTCAGGTGATCTGCCTGCCTCGGCCTCCCAAAGTGCTGGGATTACATGCATGAGCCAGTGCACCCAGCCTTCTTTATAGTTTGTATGTGTCACAAAATACTGTTGTTTTGGTTCTTTTATTTTTAGGAGACAGGGTCTTACTCTGTCACCCAGGCTCCCTGCAGCCTTAAACTCCTGGGTTCATGCAATCCTCCCTACTTGGCCTCCCAAGAAGCTGGAATTATAGGTGTGCACTATGCACACCTATTCATTTTTTATTCTCTATTTTGTAGAGCTTGGGGTGGGGGGTCTCACTATGTTGCCCAGGCTGGACTCAAACTCCTGGGCTCATAGTATCATGCCTCAGAGTGCAAAATGCTAGGATTCCAGGTGTGAGCCTCTGCACCCAGCTGACTTTTTTTTTTTCTGGAGCACTAAAAAAAAAAAAAAAAAGTAAAAGCTATTGTTGACTTGAAGGCTATCCAAAAAAAGGAGGCAGGCTGTAGTTTGCTGACCCCTGTTTGAGGCCTACAAATCAGACAGATTATAAGATCAAATCCTCTCTTTTCTTCCTTTTTTTGAGACTGAGTTTTGCTCATTACCCAGGCTGGAATGCAATGGCACAATCTTGGCTCATCACAACCTCTGCCTCCCACGTTCAAGTGATTCACCTGCCTCAGCCTCCTGAGCAGCTGGGATTACAGGCATGCACCACCACACCCAGATAATTTTGTATTTTTATTAGAAATGGGGTTTCTCCATGTTGGCCAGGCTAGTCTTGAACTCCTGACCTCAGGTGATCTGCTCACCTCGGCCTCCCAAAGTGCTGGGATTACAGGCGTGAGCCACCGCGCCCGGCCATAAGATCGAATCCTGTCTTAACAACTCACAGTGTGACTGAGGGAAGAGAGCGCTGCTGCTTCTGGGTCTGTTTGCTCAGCTGTACAGTGGAGACATTATCACCTGGATGAGACTGATTAAAAACAGTACATCTCAGAGCGGGGCTTCCTTTTATAGTCAAGGTCTAGGCTGAAGTGAGCAGTCCATAAAGACAGAGGCAGCTTTTTCTCAGCTCTGTGAGAGCCATATGGTGTCTCCAAGGTGACTCCTTCCCGGGCTTAAAATACAGGCTTCTGTATAAAGTAATAGAAAGTCAAAAGGCCAAGTAAGGACATATTCCCGCAGGGGCTTTTTGGCTTTGGAAAACCCTGCCCTCAAAGGGCTCAAGGAAGCCAGTTTCAAGTCAGAAGTGGCAGCTCATGACTTCCCATTAGGGGAAAACTTCAGGGCCCAAAAGCTGATGCCCGCAGAGCAGCCCAGGGAACAGGCTCCCTTTGTTAAGAGATTGGGTCCCAGGGCTAATGGAGGCTGCTTTGCTGACCATTGGCCTCAGATAAAGAATGGTAACCAAGCCCTGTAAGCGACGGTTTTCTGGCTGGGGGTGGGCAGGGTGTCCCACAGCAAGTCCCCATTTTGATCCACAGGTGGCTACAGTTGTAACCTGGGCTGGAAGGGACCTTTGTGACTGCTGCAGCATTTTTGTTTGTTTGTTTCAGAAGGGGATTGTTAGCCAGGAAAGGTTCTCCTGGGAATCCTATCAGTCCTTGTCACAGAACACACATAGCCGCCAGCCACCGAAGGGCATGGAGATGCAAAGCAGTACGGACGCGGTGATTCTTCCTTTTAAAGTGTAGCTATTTATGAGAGGAAAAATCCTGGAACAAGTCAAAACAACAGTGGTCACCACCTGAAGGTGGGGAAATTAGGATGTTTTTCTTCTCCAAGAACAAACATGTTATGATGTTACTTAGAAAACTCTAGAGTGAGGGCTGGGTGCAGTGGCTTAAGTCTGTAATCCCAGCACTTTGGGACGCCAAGGCCGGTGGATCACCTGAAGTCAGGAGTTCGAGACCAGTCTGGCCAATGTGGTGAAACCCTGTCTCTACTAAAAATACAAAAATTAGCTGGGCATGGTGGGCACCTGTAGTCCCAGCTACTTGGGAAGCTGAGGCAGAACTGCTTGAACGCAGGAGGCAGAGGGTACAATGAGCTTGAGATGGCACCATTGCACTCCAGCTCGGGCGACAAGAGTGAGACTTCGTCTCAAAAAAAAAGAAAAGAAAAGAAAAATCTAGAGTGAGCGAGCAGATAGCAGAGTGGGAGGAGAAGCAGTGTCTATTGCTCCTCCAGAATGGAGCACAATGAACTTCAGGTCACCTAAGAACAACTGGGGCCACCTGGCTGAGTAGCTGGGCACCTACCAAGCCCCTAGAGCTTTAGGGCTTGACTTCAACTCAGAATTCTGGATTTGGGAAAGTTCACTGTTTATGTTGTTCATGTAAGTTATCCTGTGATGATTTCCCTTGTGTTTGTATGTGTGTGTGTGAGATGGAGTCTTGCTCTGCCGCCCAGCCTGGAGTAAGGGCATGATCTTGGCTCACCGCAGTCTCTGCCTCCTGGATTCAAGTGATCCTCCTGCCTCAGCCTCCCAAGTAGCTGGGATTACAGGCATGAACCACCATGCCCAGCTAATTTTTATATTTTTAGTAGAGATGGGGTTTCACCATGTTGGCCAGGCTCGTCTTGAATTCCTAACCTCAGGTGATCCATCCGCCTGAGCCTCCCAAAGTGCTGGGATTATAGGCATAAGCCACAGCACCTGGCTTGGTGTTTTTTTGTTTTGTTGAGTTTCGCTCTTGTTGCCCAGGCTGCAGTGCAATGGCATGATCTCAGCTCACTACAACCTCTGCCTCCTGGATTCAAGTGATTCTTCTGCCTCAGCCTCCTGAGTAGCTGGGATTACAGACATGTGCCACCACACCAGGCTAATTTTGTATTTTTAGTAGAGATGGGGTTTCTCCATGTTGATGAGGCTGGTCTCAAACTCCTGACCTTAGGTTATCTGCCTGCCTCAGCCTCCCAAATTGCTGGGATTACAGGCTTGAGCCACTGTCCCTGGCCTTTATTTAGCTTTCCATTATTAGGCACTGGGGTAAGGGTACTCAAAAGATGGTTGTGTCTCCCTCCTTGGGCTGGAATTTGAAAAATACAATAGCCTGGCCCTGAGGGCTGGGTTTGGTGGCAGTAGCAGGAACCGCATAGGGAGAACTCCAAAGCAAGGGAGATAAATCTGAGAGAGAAAAGTCAGGGTTATTTATGTAATTAAACTTTGCCTCCTTGAAGACCCTCCTTTGAAGGGTAGTACCATTTTATTTATTTTAGAGGGCTGTTTTATTAAGAGAAACTGTCTTTCTGTCACTTCACATGGCAGTCAATGTCCTCTTGGGATCACCAGGCCTCTCGAAAAGCAGGGAGGCCTTCAGGGAAGCTCCCCGATCCCAGCCCAGGAGTCTCACAGGCACCGCCTGTCTCTCTACAACATGACTCATCTCTAAGAGCAAAAGCATCGGCTCCATTCCAGAAGGTCCTGGACCTTGGAGTATGGACCATGTGCACTGCTTACTGGGCAGATACACCTCTCACCTCCTCAGACAAGGCCTGGGGTTTTGGAGAAATGAGCTCCAGAGGAGACTCCCGTGCAGGCCTAATACCCTCTATTCAGACATGGACCAACTAAGTTGACTGAACAAGGACCTGGTTCCCAGATGGGGCAGGTCTGAGCCCAGCCTGAATTCAACTCATGCCCCCAAAGTGAAGACATCACTCTGTGGGAACCTGTGTGTGCACCTGGTGGGGGTGGGAACTAAGGAAAGACTGTTCCTCTGCTCAGCTGCAAAGGAAAAGGGGACAGCATCTTCCAAAGAGGTTTCTCTGGCCAGTGCCACGATCCCTCAGGCCAAGATGAAGGGTGCATCCAAAGGGACCGGACATGTCCAGTCCTTACTGAGAAAAAGGGCCTTGGGACTCCTGGGCACCAGGCAAGATGGCAGCAGCAGAAATCCCAGTGAGAGACCCTCATGGGATGAGAAACACTGGTCAGCGCCCGCCCCCACCAAGAGAGGTTTCCCAGGAAGACAAAAGACATGTTTATTGCACCCATACCAAACTGCAGACACAAATCTTTGAAAGGTAGTACCATTTTATTTAGTGTTATAGGAAATTTTGGGTTACTTCTTAAAAACAAGAACAAGGAAATTCAGAAGTCCCAAAGAAAGAAAGCAGAAAATAATAATTCTAGAATCCAAAACGCTGAGCAATCCTTCATTTAGAGGAAGAGGGCGTCAGTTAAGCAGCTCACACAGTAGATACAGAGAAACCACGGAGTTGAGTTTGGTGTGGATACGAGAAATTAAGTTCTCCACCTAAGGCAATTAATTTTTTAGCCGTGAGGGATAATGAGTAGTTCTAGAAAAAGAAAAAAGTTGACTGGGAGAAGGGACCCAGAGAGGGAGGATGGCATGTCATTTAACATCAAATTGCCTCTCTCTACAGTATGTGGCTGAGCATCATGGCCAATCCTCCCTCTCTGCCCCGTTGAACTCCCACTGTTAGCAAAACTGAGAAGCACACACCTGTATCTCCTTATAGGCACATACACACACACCTGTATCTCCTTCATACAGGCACGTGCACACACACCTGTATCTCCTTCATACAGGCACGTGCACACACAGCTGTATCTCCTTCATATAGGCACGTGCACACCTGTATCTCCTTCAGGTAGGCACAGGCACGTGCACACACACCTGTATCTCCTTCATACGGGATTGCGCATAGCCTTCACCAATCAGGGCCCACAGCTGTCACTATGGCAAAGGGCAGACTTGCTCCACATCCACTCTGCCTTCTTGACGAGGTGAACACACGGGAATAAGAGGGAGGGCAGGACACCTGCCAAAGCCTGAGAAATGAGATGATCTGAAACAACTGGGCAAAGGCTGGACATTTCAGAAAGCTGATCTCCAACTGCAGGTTATGGGTAATGAATTTGATGCTTCCCTCAAGTCCTGACTGCTCTTTCTGGAGGCAGCCAGGCCAGGCCAAGCCAAGAAATGAGCTGCTCCGGCTTCTCCAGAGCACAGCCGCCTCCCAGGGCCCGCGGGCATCTGTAGCAGTTGGAAGGAGGTCCCAGCTCTTCTGAGACAAAGCCAATTTGTAGGATTCTCCAGTGCTCCAATTCACTAATATCTGCTAATGGCTCAGAGCAGGCTAAAGCTTCTCCTAGATAATGCCTCCCCACAAACTGACTCCTCAGGGACAGCTGTTAACTGAATGACCTCCAGCTTATCTACTTTGGGAGGTGCAGGAATGCTATAAACGGAATTCTTTCCCAGCAGCAGCAGAAGCCAGGCACCCTTGAGTCAATTGTCCTTCATTGTCCAGAGCTCCCAAGTGGCATTTCAGAGCACAGGAATTCACTCCTCCACCCAGATGTCCCTCTCATGTGGACTGAGTCCCATGCCCCAGGTCCCAGCAGCAGACATGTCTAAACCACCATCCTCACAAACACTGCAGGTCTCTACACCAGCTCTCCACTGGAGGAAGAATCATGCAGAGCACACCTGCCCCCCAGTGCACTTGGGTTATCACAGTAAAAATACATTTATATCAAGTAAAAAACATAACGCGGGACAAACATACACATGTATATTTTCTTTCTTTCTTTCCTTTTTTTTTTTTTTTGAGACAGAGTTTCGCTCTGTTGCCCAGGTTCCAGTGCAGGCGTGTGATCTCGGCTCACTGCAACCTCTGCCTCCCTGACTCAAGCGATTCTTGTGTCTCAGCCTCCTGAGTAGCTGGGATTATAGGCATCCACCACCACGCCCAGCTAATTTTTGTATTTTTAGTAGAGATGGGTTTTTGCCATGTTGGCCAGGCTGGTCTTGAACTCCTGACCTCAAGTGATTCACCCACCTCGGCCCCCCAAAGTGCTGGGATTATGGGCATGAGCTACCGCATCCAGTCATACATGTACATTTTCAGAGTTCAAGTGACTATACAGTTTTCTTTATAAGTATGTAAATAAATTTCATAGCACTACAAAAATACAAGTCATCTGAGAAGTTTACAGTGGTCCCAGTACTGTAGGAGAGAATTAAATAAAATAAAATAGCGGTAGATAATTAAAAGCTGATTAGATAAATCAAGTTACAGTATCATCCTTCAGATTAAAGTGCACTGATAAAACCAATGCCACAGCAAACAAAATCCTGGAATGGGATTCTGCTGCCAATAATCTTGCCTCTTACCCCCAATGTAACAAGGACATACATAAAAAAGATTCTTGATTTAATAACTGCTATCATCTCCACCCCCACCCATGCTATTGGCCTGTGATATTCTTCCCCTAAGAGAGATGTCAAGATTGGATGAGATTCTATCACAGCCAGGAGAAAAAATGAGCAATACCAGAAGCATTCTAATTCCAGTCTTAAGTGAGTAACAACAAAATTACCTGAAAAATCTGAACTAGTGCTTTTAGCTAAGAAGGAAGCAAATATCCGAGTTAAAAAAAAAGTCTATAAATCTAATTTTAAAAATACAAATCCAAAAATAAGTATCTTCTTGCTCTGCACAATTTTATAACAAGGGGGTAAAATGGTGGTGAGTCTATTCACGAAGGAAACGGAAAAGAAGCAACTATTTGAAGGCTGAGGCATTCCTGTTGTCTACTGACTTTCAACTTTTATTAACCACATTAAGCCCTTCACGACGATTTCCCCAGTACCCCAGAAATAATTTGGGTTTCCTTTTGGGCAGGGACAAAAACTGTTCAAAGGACAGATATACAGATGCAGTTCAATCCCTTTGGGGTCCAATCCATGGTCTCCTGTCCCCTGCACAGTGAAGGGACTTCTTTTTGTTTTTCTTCAGATAGAGTCTCGCTCTGTCACCAGACTGGAGTGCAGTGGCAAGATCTCGGCTCACCGCAACCTCCCCCTTCCCGGTTCAAGCGATTCTCCTGCCTCAGCCTCCCAAGTCGCTGGGACTACAGGCACCCACCACACCCTGCTAATTTTTGTAATTTTAGTAGAGACAGGGTTTCACCATGTTGGCAGGATGGTCTCCATCTCTTGACCTGTGATCTGCCTGCCTCGGCCTCCCAAAGTGCTGGGATTACAGGCATGAGCCACTGTACCCGGCTTCTTTCTTTCTTTCTTTCTTTCTTTTTTTTAAGATGAAGTCTCACTCCTGCCCAGACTAGAATACAATGGCACAATCTTGGCTCACTGCAACCTCCATCTCCTAAGTTCAAGCAATTCTCCTGCCTCAGCCTCCCGAGTAGCTGGGATAACAGGCACATACCACCACACGCAGCTAATTTTTATATTTTGGGTAGAGATGGGGTTTCACCATGTTGGCCAGGCTGGTTTCGAATTCCTGACCTCAAGTGATCCACCCGCCTCAGTCTTGCAAAGTGCTGGGATTACAGACTGGCCTGAAGGGGCTTCTTCATCTTGGGGAGCTGATGGACCCTGCCTTTGCCTCTCACAAGGAGTGTTGCTGAGGAAACCAGGGCACCAAGCAAAGGCACAGGGGAAAGGGCCAAGTAATCCTACTGACGTCATTCCACACCTGCCAGAACTGTGTCAGCGAGTGTGTGGACCACCCAATCCCCTAGCAAGGCTCTGAATAGGCTGGTGTAGCCAGCAGGAACCTGGCTATCATAAGAGGAGGGGCTTTAACCAAGTTCATCAAATTGAATAAAAAGTGAATCTTTTAAGTTCCAGGATTCTACTTTTCCTATCTCCAGTGGAAGGGCCCTGGATCTAAACAGAGCACATTTTAAAGCTAGCAAGTAGTAGAAGCTGATGTTTAGAAAAGGCCGCTTGTTCGAACCCTGAAAGGCACACTCAGAGAGGCTTTCTCTAAATGCCTCTGCTCCCATCGAGAAACCAGATCCAAGTCTGAGAAGCTGGGTAGGTTTACATGGTATCAAAATTTAACATCTGCAGCCAAAAGCCACACCTGAGCTACTCAAAAGCTAAGAAAGTTCGTGTACGTAACACAGCACCAATCGCGTGGTCCTTTTCTCGTTTAAAGCTCTCAGGTAAGCTTTAAGAACTGTAGGATACATATTGAAAAAAATCTCAGTATGAAAGAAAGAAAACCCCAGTGTTAAAATACAGGAATACCTCCTGCGCCATCTGAATCTCAGGCTCAGGATCAGATCTTATGACCATGTCTCTGGTGGGCATAAAATATTCAAAACCTACTTAAAGGCACAGTGGCATTTAAAAATAAAGCCTTGGGAATGTACAGTAAAAGATTCATTGTAATCATTGGCCTGGCTTCCATTGGTAGAATTCACTCTTGCCGGATAACACGCAAGGGAGATGGCAATTTGGAGCCTACCAGCTGGTTACCAGGCAGAGCAAGTCCTTGACCCCGGGAGCAGGTGAAAGTGAACTCTCAGAACCATCTTGGTGGTTGTTTCCTGCTGATTTACATCTTTCCTGCTTTTTTGCCAACCTGGGTTGGGATGCGGAGGATGTTAGGGGTTTCTTCCATGACTCTGACGAGCAGGTTGTCAATGTAGTCCTCCAGCTCGCGGACCTGGAACTCCTTCTTGCTTATTGTTTCCTTCTGTTTGAGGACCAGCTGGATCAGCTCATCATGGGTCAGCTGTGCGTAGGCAAATGCAGGGTCTGAGGGGCTGTATTTCTTTCGAGAGAAGGAAGAAGTTGGAAAATAGGAGTTAGCAAAGCAGCACAGAAATCTAAAACCTAAAAGAAGTACAAAGGAGGAAAACATGACTAGTGATCTGGGTCTCTTAGGAATCTGTTTTTTTTTCTTTCTTTCTCTTCTTTCTTTCTTCTTTCTTTTTTTAGATACGGAGTCTCACTCTGTCACCCAGGCTGGAGTGCAGTGGCACGATCTTGGCTCACTGCAACCTCCACCTCCTGGGTTCAAGCGATGAATACTCCCTGCGCCATCGGAATCTCTGGCTCAGGATCGGATCTATGACCACACCTCTGGTGGGCATATAATATTTACAACCTAGTTAGATGCACAGTGGCATTTAAAAATAAAGCCTTGGGAATGTACAAGCTTTCTCAGCCTCCTGAATAGCTAGGACTACAGGCAAACGCCAGCATGCCTGGCTACTTTTTGTATTTTTTAGTAGAGACAAGTTTTTACCATGTTGGCCAGGCTGGTCTTGAACTCCTGATCCCAGATAATCCTCCTGCCTCAGCCTCCCAAAGTGCTGGGATTACAAGCGTGAGCCACTGAGCTCAGCCAGGGAATCTGTTTTCAATTCACAGTGAAAACAGGCTGTTGACTGATGAAGTTTTCTGGAAAGGGCCAGATAGCACATATTTGAGCCTCTGTGGGCTACAGATGGCCTTTGTTAACATGGTCTGCCTTGGGTTTTCAGTTTGTTTGTTTTGTTTTATTTTGTTGTATGACCTTTTAAGAACCATACTTGGCGTACAGGCGAGGACTCTGGACTTGACTCTAGGTTTGGGTTTTAAGCAATGTCATAGCGGGAGGACTCGTCCTCCAAATGAGTGCTCACTTCTCTGGGAACACTAGGAGCTCACACAACCAAACACCTGGTCTCAGGGCTGGAGACAAGCCCCAAGCCAGAGGAGGCCCAGGAAGACACAGCCGTGACAGAAGGTACAGGTGGGGAAGGGCTGACACAGCCATGACAGAAGGGACGGGGGACAAGGACTCTCCTTCCAGAGCAGCAGGTTGAGGTCCAGCCCAGACCATGCGCTCGTGCTGAAGCTGCGCTCAGAAGGACTCGGTGAGCAGGTGGCTGCAGTGGACACCCAGGGACCTCACTTCACATCATTTCATACTTGAGAAACATGCGCAGTCAGAGCCAGGCACCACTGTGCCCCGTCCTCACCCGTGGCCATCTAGGCACACTCTTGGGTAGACAGTGGCCTGTCCCAGAGCTGAGTGTTCCAGTCCCGAAGAGAGCACGCACCCTGTGGAGTCACTGTGCTTTATCAGCATTTATGATCTGGGGCCCCTGGAGTCCGGCGGCAAGCCCAAGCAGCTGCACGGTGAGGAGACGCCAGGTAAGGCTTAAATGAAAAGTCACACACTGTGCAAGTCCCCAGTAAGGAAAAAAAAAAGTAACTTTTCTTGAAATCTGTAGCCTGAGATCTACATGTTTAAATAATCAACATGATTTTGCTGGCAGAACCCTGAGGCAGGAATAGCTTTAGTGCCCTAAGGGTCTAACGGTTTCACTGTCTACCAGGAAGGCTAAGAGACGACCTTCACCAAGAATCAACACTCGCTCCTCAGTGACATGATAGGAGCCCCAGTTCAGTCCAGTGACGTGAACTGCCTGGACATGACCAGAAGTCAGAGGAGGGATCCCAGCCCTCCCATCCCAGCCAGGAACAGAAGCACGATGATGGTGGTACTAACTTAGACACAACATCAACATTTCCATAGACAGAGCGGGCTGAACCCCACGCAGGCTGCACATTCAGAGGTGAGACGCTGGACTGCTTTTCCAAAATCTGCTTCTCCCCTAATCTTTGTTTTTTAAAAACTTTAAAGGCATGCATTCACAGTGCACCTCGTCTGAGCCTCAGTCACTCTAGATGTGACTTCCCAAACAATATATCATCAAAAATGTGCATGTCTGGAAAAGAGTCCTGGAGATCGGTTGCACACAGTGTGAACATACTTAATATCTTTTTTTTCCCCACAGAGACGGGGTCTTGCTATGTTGCCCAGACTGGTCTCGAACCCCTGAGCTCAAGTGATCCTCCTACCTTGGCCTCACAAAGTGCTGTGATTCCAGGCATGAGCCACCACACCCAGCCTTATGTTTCATATCAAGGAAGAAAAGTCACCTCTGTAAATAATGGCAAAGAATATGTCCTCAAGGGATTTTAGATTACACCTCTCATATAGGAATCTTACTTATTTTTTTAAGAAGTCTCAATACATAAGATACTCTGCATGGAGTTTGAGAGAAAGAAGGATGCAGAGGCTGACACCTGTCATAGAATTCCAACACCTAACATTTGCATCTCTTTATGTTTCCTGGCATTCTTTTTTTTTTTTTTTCTTTTTTTGAGACAGAGTCTTGGTGTGACAGGCTGGAGTACAATGCCACGATCTTGGCTCACTGCAACCTCTGCTTCCCAGGTTCAAGTGATTCTCCTGCCTCAGCCTCCCAAGCAGCTGGGATTACAGGTCGCCCACCACCACACTCAGCTAATTTTTGTATTTCTAGTAGAGATGGGGTTTCACCATGTTGGCCAGGCTGGTCTCGAACTTGAAGTCACATCCTGACTTCAAGTGATCCACTTGCCTCGGCCTCCCAAAGTGCTGGGATTACAGGCGTGAGCCACCATGCCCGGCCTTCCTGGGGTTCTTCATGATATGTTTTATCATGTCAGCCTCGTACAAAATAGAGTTTTATGGCTTTTTACTATTAGTAAGCATTTTTTCCATCATAACATTTTAGCAAAAATTGCTGTTCTAATGGATACTTAAAATCCTATTATATTTTAACTATTCCTCTATTGCTAGATATTTATGTTGTTTTCAATTTGTATAATTATATATAACATTTTTATCAAAATGGATCTTTGGCCATATCTCTAAGTACTTCCTTAAGATAAATGCCTAGAATTGAAAATGTGTACACACTCAAGGTACTTCATACGAGCCGGGCACCTGTAATCCCAGCACTTTGGGAGGCTGAGGTGGGCAAATCATGAAGTCAGGAGATCGAGACCATCCTGGCCAACATGGTGAATCCCTGTCTCTACTAAAATACAAAAAATTAGCCAGGTGTGGTGGCACGCCTGTAGTCCCAGCTACCGGGAGACTGAGGCAGGAGAATCTCTTGAACCTCGGAGGCAGAGGTTGCAGTGAGCCGAGATCGTGCCACTGTACTCCAGCCTGGGCGACAGAGGAAGACTCTGTCTAAAAAAAAAAAGGACTTCATACAAACCATTAAACAGCTATTTAATTTGGATTGTGTAATTCAAAGGGAAAAAAGATAGTTTTGTGATATTTAAAAATTATAAAACAATCCAGCTTTATAAAAAGTGAGTAATGGTCTTGGAGAAGAAGCGCAGAGAAAATACCCAGGAATGCAAGAAAGAACAGTGCCCACTGTCATGTATTTCCCACCAGGATTCTTACCCTGGACTTTTCCTTTTACAAAGTTGTGATAATGACATACACTCAAATGTGCCTCCAACTTTTTCCATATCACAGATGATTTTTGGACCAAGTTGGCTTCACTATTTCAAAACTGAAATGTTAAAGCCACCTGGGTAAATAATATACTCCCAGTTATAAATCATCTATAAAGGATTCAGGCCCTAAAACAACAACCAAGAAAAAAAAAAATCACTGTAGTAATGATCCAGCTAACTTTTCCTAACTTTAGCTATGCAATTTATTTCCCTTAAATCTCTCTTAATTTGCAACATTCCAAAGAGTACCTCTCTTTATAAATACTGTCTTATGCCTTAACACAAAGCATCTATCATGTGGCAAGCCAATAAACGTCCCCTATTTACTCTGACTGTTTACAAGGCATGGTCCAGAACCAAGAAATGTGTTGCAGGCAGGCAGCGGGGCAGCGGCCAGGCTTACAAATCATGAGCAAAGTAAGCACCAGTTGCCTTTGTTTTGAGCTAAGTTATTCTCTTAGGGCCAGGAGGTAAACCTCTGAATGAAATGAGCTTTGAAGAGGGAATAAGATGGGAGCCAAAGGTCTTGCTAACTTCCCAGAAACAAGGTGTTTGTTTCTCTTTGGAGCTGCACTGCATTCCACAGTAAAAGGAAGACGGATGGGAAGCTGCTGAATGACTAATTTTCATTGCCGTCCCCTTTATGCTGTCATTTTATCCCATTCCTGATAAATATCATTAACTCCAGGAAGACAAGTGCTGCCTCTTCTATCTGCAACAACACACAGAGCCAGGCAAGCTGGTTGACATATTATAGATTTTTTGGCTAGGGCTGAAATGTAGTAGGTACACAGTTCTGGCTGTGTACCTATAATTTTGAGACCAATGCTTAGTGTGTCCTTCCCTGTCAGTGTGTCCTACAAAAAGAGTGGGGACCGGGCGCAGTGGCTCACACCTGTAATTCCAACACTTTGGGAGGCTGAGGCAGGTGGATCACCTGAGGTCAGGAGTTTGAGACCAGCCTGACCAACACAATAGAACCCCATCTCTACTAAAAACACAAAAAAATTAGCTGGGCGTGGTGGTTCATGCCTACAATCCCAGCTACTTGGGAGGCTGAGGCAGGAGAATCACTTGAACCTGGGAGGTGGAGGTTGCAGTGAGCCGAGATCACGCCATTACACTCCGGCCTGGGCAACAGAGCAAGACTCCATCTCAAAAAAAAAAAAAGAAAGAAAGAGAAAGTGAGGCAAGATGGTAAGAAGATGTTAACTTGTTTTCAGCAATCAACAGTTATGATTACTTGGCTTCTTTTACCAAAAACTTGGACTTCTAGCTCCCTGTGAACCTTTATCCCAGCTCTTACTGACAGATGTGCAAAGAAGCCCGAGGGAATATCAACCATCCAGCACTTGAAAAACACTTTCAGCCAAGCATGGTGGTGCATCTGTAGTCCAGGCTACTTGGGAGGCTGAGGTAGGAGGATCACTTGAGCAGAGGAGTTCGAGGCTGCTGTGAGCTATGATTGCACCTGTGAATAGCCATTGCCCAGCGGCCTAGGCCACAGAGAGAGACCCCATCTCCATTAAAAAACAAAACAAGGCTGGGCACAGTGGCTCACACTGGTAATCTCAGCACTTTGGGAGATAGAGGCAGGTGGATCACCTGAAGTCAGGAGTTTGAGACCAGTCTGGCTAACATGGTGAAACCCCATCTCTACTAAAAATGCAAAAATTAGCTGGGTGTGATGGCAGGTACCTGTAATCCCAGCTACGCTGGAGGCTGAGGCAGGAGAATTGCTTGAACCCAGGAGGCGGAAGTTGCAGTGAGCCAAGATGGCGCCATTGCACTCCAGCCTGGGCAACAAGAGCAAAACTCCATCTCAAAAAATAATAATAATAAATAAACGATTCAATATCCAGAGTCCCTGGGACTTTAAAATCTATGATGAAGTTAAACTTTAGCATCTCCAAACTAAATAAAACTAAGTTTTATTTCTACAGACTGCAGTTCCCAGTGTCAGTTGGGAAGTCCTTCTCTACATATTTGAAATACAACACATCCTTGCCCCTAAACGTCACCAATCCCTCAGTAAATCACTTCTTCTAGCCCAGATGATACTGAATTGAGGACCAGGGATCCGCAGCAAGGCAGTATTCTAAATCCTTCAGATTTGAGAACCAGAGGGCAGGATAAAGACACTCCCAGGTAGAGTTCATCTGGGAGGCTGGTTTTGTATTATGAGGAGTTGTTTTTTAATGTTAGCCCATGCTTTTCAAAGAGAAGAGACCCTCCAAATGAGCAAGATACTTCCTGGAAATTTAGCTTAAGGAAATAATCTAAAGGAGGAGAAAAAGTTCCATATAGGAAGTTGTTGACTATAGTGTTAATTCATAATGAAAAAAAGAAACAGGCCGGGCATGGTGCCTTTTGCCCATATCCCAGCACTTTGGAAGCCCTAAGCAGGCTGATCACTTGAGCCCAGGAGTTCAAGACCAGCCTGAGCAACATGGTAAAACCCCAACTCCACAAAAATACATAAATTAGGCAAGTATGGTAGTGATCGCCTGTAGTCCCAGCTACTTGGGAGGCTGGGGTGAAAGGATTGATTGGACCCAGGAGTTCGAGGCTACAGTGAGCCATGATTGCGCCACTCCACTCAGTCTGGGCAACAGAGCAAGACCCTTAATAAAAAAAATTTCCTGAATTTGATGAATGTCCTTACTGTTAGGAATATTTACAGGTAAAAGGAGCATGAGGTAGGCTGGGCACAGTGGCTCATGCCTGTAATCCCAGCACTTTGGGAGACCAAGGCAGGTGGATCACCTGAGGTCAGGAGTTCGAGACCAGTGTAGCCACACAGTGAAACACTGTCTCTACTAAAAATACAAAAATTGGCCATGCATGGTGGTGCACACCTGTAGTCCTAGCTGCTTGGGAGGCTGAGACAGGAGAATTGCTTGAACCCAGGAGGTAGAGGTTGCAGTGAACTGAGATCATGCCACTGCACTACAGCCTGGGTGACAGAGCAAGACTCCGTCTCAAAAAAAAAAAAAAGCTCCCTGATTTTGATGAATATCCTTACTATTAGGAATTACTCACTTAAGTATTTAGGGTTAAAAGGAACATGAGGTACACAACTTACTTCCAAATGATTCCAAAAAAAAAAAAATGATGCCAACACCTGTGTGTGTGCATCCAGCAAGAGAGAAGGGGAGGGAGAGGAAGCAGAGGTTGAGGCTGCTGGGCAAATCTGGTCAAATGTTAACTACTCGTGAATGGGGAGGAAGGGTTTGAAGGAGCTCTTTGTACTATTCTTGCAACATTTTTTTAAGATTTGGAATTAGTTCAAAATGAAGTTACCAAAAAAGTATATATGCAATGATTGCAATTATCAGAATTTTACATTCTTGCCAAAAGAAAGAAAATGTGGGAAGAAAATCCCTGAGGTGAACGAGCCAGATTGTGGGTGACATCTTCTTCTCATTAAAAAGAAGGGCCAGGCTGGGTGTGGTGACTCGCGAGTGTAATCCCAGCACCTTGGGAGGCCAAGGTGGGAGGATCACTTGAGCCCAGGATTTCAAGACCAGCCTAGGCAACACTGCAAAGCCCCATCTCTGTTAAGAAGGAGAAGTTTTAAATCTGCTTTAAAAAAAAAGAAGGGTCACCGTCAATCATGTTGCTTGAGACATAAAAATTTAACAATAACTAAACAAGTATAAGGTAATACAGAAATTATCCAGTGGAATGTCTGGAAGTTTCCCAAGTTTATCCAAAGACTCCAGAGGTACGGCTAAGTGGCTCCTGCCACCACTGGCTGCCCAGGGAGAGGTATACGATGGTGACTATGGAAATGGGTGCTCTGTCAAGCCCTAACGAACGCACCAGCTTCCCAGAAGACATACCTTCATCATGGCCTCGTTGTTCAAGTTCTCACTGATGATGGTAGCAGTTCCCAAGCTGGAGTTAGCAATCTTGGTGGCTGTTGTGTTCATTGGCTTCACAGGATGAGGTCTAAAGAGAAGGGGAAAAGAATCTTTAGACCTTCCTGTCATGGCAAAACTGAGCAACTGCCCACCAAAAAGATGGCAGCCAGTAAGCCAGACAAGTGGCAGATGGGTCACACACTATCCTCATCTCTGGGCCAACACACTCCAATGTCTCAGTTCCTGTGGAAACAAAAGCAGTCAGGATTGGGCCGCCACATGCAAGCCAGCAAAGCATGTCCTTGCCCAGGTGTCCTGATGTCCTCAACAGAACCCTCGGTCTTGTTACAAACATCAGGAGAACATTAAAGGCAATCTCTTATTTTTTTGAGGCAACCAGAGCCTAGGCATTCACTGTGAAACTCTGCAGAGGCTTCTGTTCCTCTGCAGTAAAGAGAGTTCAGAACAAACATGTAAGTTTCACGACAGGCAGTGCTTCAAGAAGTTTTTGACACTGCTAGATGCTACTCCCGCTCAATGCCCGTTAGTTCTGAGACTGTTAAGATATTGGTGGCATTGCGTTTGTGCAATGTGACAGCTTCAAATCTGACTGTGCAGAACAATTCCTAAACTCTATTTGAAGACCATTATGTCTTTGCTATAAACATAGCAGTGTCTTGAGCTATTCCCACCACGAGGGGCAGTCCTACCAGCAGGATGTCACATCAGAAAGTCTGTGTGGTTAGAAAGTGTAACCTCTGCAGGTAGAAAGCCAAGCAGACATTGCTCACATCACAAAGACAGTCTCCCCCATCGCTCACCTGTGCTTGGCTGGCGCCGTTCCAGCGCTCGGCTGAGCTGAGACTGGATGTGTCTCCGAGGGTGAGACCCAGGCCTGGAGGGGTGGCTTCCTCTTGCCAAAATTCTCAACTCTACCAGCGGAGCCCTCTGTTGTGGCTTTTTTTTGAGATTCTGCTGTGCTAGTGTGGTGAGTGGCAGAATGTACAGAGCTGGGGAAAGAGTGTGTGGCAGGAAAGGTCTCAGAAGGGGAGGGGCTAGGTACAGGATTCTCCAGGGACATGCCAGGAGGCGGGCTTGGACTCCCATTTCCCATTGGTTTTTCTTCCTCACTACCATTGGAGCCTGGCAGCTGTTTATCCAAGGTTGAACTCTTGCCAAGATGTGGTTTGTGAATTCCGAACGCTGTGGTCTGCTCTGAAGGAGCTGTCACAGATGCTTGGGGTGCTTGCAGCCTGAAATCACGCAGGCCCTCCCCCAGCGCCAACCCATCTGCCTCACCACTGGGCCCCTTTCCCTTCTCTGGACAAGGGAGTACCATGCTTGGGGATGAAGCTCCTACGTCCAGAGTTGACAACTCTGTTGTCTCTCCATCATCTTCAGCCTGAGCATCATCTTCGCCCTGATCTACTCTTTCATCATCCGATGCGACTTCAGGAATGGAAGGAAGGCTTAAGTTCAGATCGGCCATGACTGGAGATTCAAAATCTGAGGCAGACTGAAGGTCACTCAAGGGATCAGACAATAAACCTTCGTGGTCACTGGCCTTGCTCTGATACTGAGTCACAAGGGCATCGCCTTCCTCCGTCCTAAAGAGTGGCGTGTCTTTTGCTGAGCTTGCTTCTCTCATGGGGCCTTTGGAGAAACTCTCCTCCTGGGAGGGGAGGAGGAGGTGATCAGCCAGGGAGGCTGGCGTACCGCAAGTCGCCGGCCTAGGCATGGTCACCGATTCCCTCTCTGAGTCCTCTGCATGGAGAGAAGCAGGAGGTTCCCTGTCAGATGGATTTCCAGCGACAGCCCATGCAGCGGTCAGCTCCTGGGGATAAGTGCTGTGTTCTTCCACCAGCGGGGCGGCTCTCTCAACTGCCTCTTCCGTGAAGAGCTGCTCAGAGAACGACACGCGCTTCTTGGTTTTCTTCTGGCCCTCACCGAGGTTCAGATCTGTCTCTTCCAGCTTCCGTAGCATGGCATCAATGGAGGGGACCCATTCTCCCACCGGAAGAGGGGGCACCGATTCTTCAACTGCATCCCTAGCTTTGCTCTCCGCAAGAGACCCAGCCTGACTCTCCAAGTCTCGGTCTCCTCCTGCCGCAAGCTCCCCAGCGGGGCTTGCAGCTCCATCACTGCTGAGTGAAAGGGCAGAAGGTACCTCTCGGGCCTCTCCAGATGTTGAGCTGTAGTCTTGTTTTCTGCAGGGAAACCTCGGAAGTTCTCCCTTTTGTCGTCCCATTTCAGGCTGCTCCAGGAGAGACTCCTCTGACTCAAGGCTACTGGTGTTCTTCTCTGTGCCTGTTTCACAGGTCCTGCCCATCGGAGAATCTTCCGCCCCTTTATTCACTAGAATGGGTGGCTGTTTGGAAAGTGGTCCCAGGGCAGAAGAACCGGAATTTAGAACTGGTGTTAAACTCTCCCATTGCCACTCTGCCTCAGGGAGCAAGGGTGGTTCTTCAGACTTGGCCTGGCCCCTGTCTGTGGGAGGCCAGCTTTCAATTGGAGTAGATGTGGAAATGGGAGCTGCTATGGGAGATGAGACAGAGGAGAAGACAGAAAGACTCTCAGAGGACTGTGTGTCTGCACCACGTCCCAGTGCAGAGGGGACAGGTGCCTGGCCAGAACTAGAAGGGAGAGGAGGAGGAGAGGAAGGGGCGTCAGTGGGGGAAGGAAGCCTGGCTGTGGGTTGCGCCTCCAGAGACACTTCCAGTCTGCAAAAAGGACAAAATCTGCAAGTCAGTGCAGATGCATCATGAGAGACAAAGCACACAAAAATCAAGTCATTCACCAGGAGAGAACGTCTTTACACTTGGGGCAGTACCTTTAGAAGTTAAAAAAGGAACACTAGCTGGGCACGGTGGCTCACGCCTGTAATCCCAACACTGTGGGAGGCCGAGGCAGGCGGATCACCTGAAATCAGGAGTTCAAACCCAGCCTGACCAACATGGTGAAACCTCGTCTCTACTGAAAAATACAAAATTGAGCTGGGTGAGGTGGTGGCGCACGCCTGTAATCCCAGCTACTTGGGAGGCTGAGGCAGGAGAATTGCTTGAACCTGGGAGGTGGCGGTTGCAGTGAGCCGAGATTGCACCACTATACTCCAGCCTGGGAGGCAGAGGGGGACTGTCTCCAAAACAAAACAAAAAAAAAGAACACTAAACAAAACAAACAAACAAACAAAAAAAGAACACTAACATTTAACATACACAACAGACACTTTTACAACCAAGCAGATCTGCCACACAAAGGTCTGTTGCAATAGAGACGAAAAGATCCCAGGAAAGCAACTGCCTCTGGTTTCTTGTGGTGATTAACACAAGGCTGGGGCACTTGATTATGACAGGACAAAGTACACCTAAAGAGTTCAAAGTGGTTAAAGATAGAACACAAAGCCGCAGGCACAGATGTTTAAGAGGAACAGTGTCTATGTGTGCGTGTCAACATAAGCAGAATCGCTAAAAAAATCTCTCACCCCCCAGACCACAGAAATATTGTCAGCGTGAATGAGATCACATGGAAAAAACGGAACCTCCCAAGGCTCACCCTAGCTCTTACAAGAAGGGGCAGAGCAGACAGAGAACTGTCACAGGCACACTCGAGAGAGGACCGAGGGTCTCTCATGCCAGAAACCAGTGCCAAAGTGCAAGGAGACAGGACAGGATCTGGCTCAAGGGCAAACATGCAATAAGAACTTCATAAACACAGGTTCTGCACACACCACAACGCAAACCCAGCATTCCCAATTCGCAACACCCAGAATCTGCTACAAACCATCGCATTCCACTGAGATCTGATAATCTGACTGAGATGACAGACCATGCCTGCTGGGCAGTAGCTCTGGGCTAGGAAGCATTACTGCAATTTGTACAGGGCAGGCCAGGCCGGCAGTAGGGACTGGTTAAAAAAACAATAATTCGGTCGGGCGCCGTGGCTCAAGCCTGTAATCCCAGCACTTTGGGAGGCCAAGGCGGGTGGATCACGAGGTCAAGAGATCGAGACCATCCTGGTCAACATGGTGAAACCCCGTCTCTACTAAAAATACAAAAAATTAGCTGGGCATGGTGGCGCATGCCTGTAATCCCAGCTACTCAGGAGGCTGAGGCAGGAGAATTGCCTGAACCTAGGAGGCGGAGGTTGTAGTGAGCCAAGATCGTGCCATTGCACTCCAGCCTGGGTAATAAGAGCAAAACTCCGTCTCAAAAAAAATAATAATAATAATTCAGGCCAGGTGCGGTGGCTCACGCCTGTAATCCCAGCATTTTGGGAGGCCGAGGCAGGTGGATCACGAGGTCAAGAGATCGAGACCATCCTGGTCAACATGGTGAAACCCCGTCTCTACTAAAAATACAAAAAATTAGCTGGACATGGTGGCGCATGCCTGTAATCCCAGCTACTCAGGAGGCTGAGGCAGAAGAATTGCCTGAACCTAGGAGGCGGAGGTTGCGGTGAGCCGAGATCGCGCCATTGCACTCCAGCCTGGGTAACAAGAGCGAAACTCCGGCTCAAAAATAATAATAATAATAATTCAGGCCAGATGCAGTGGCTCACGCCTGTAATCCTAGCACTTTGGGAGGCTGAGGTGGGTGGACACAAGGTCAGGAGTTCAAGATCAGCCTGGCCAATATGGTGAAACCAACCTCATCTCTACTGAAAATACAAAAATTAGCCAGGCATGGTGACAGGCGCCTGTAGTCTGAGCTACTCGGGAGACTGACACAGGAGAATCACTTGAACCCGGGAGGCGGAGGTTGCAGTGAGCCAAGATCGTGCCATTGCACTTCAGTCTTGGCATCAGAGCAAGATTCCATCTCAAAAAATAATGATAATAATAACAATTTAGACCAGCACACCCCTGACATATTCGGGTACTATGATGTCATTTGTAAGCCTCAAAACTGCTAATGGCAAGGTAGAAATGCCCTGCATGAGAAGAACCAAAACTCACCGGGGCTTGACAGCTCTGGTCTGGGGAGCCCTTGCAGAGGGAATTGGAGGTTTCAGTTCAGACTTGGCCTCCGGCTCAGCTTCCGGTTCTGTGATCTCCACATCTTCAAAGGGGTTCAGTGAGCTGCCCGGTCTGGAGACAATAGTCACAGTATCTTTCTCGGATCTTCTCACAACTTCTTCAGCAGGCCCGGGCGCATCCTCCCCTGGCTTAACCCCCATCAGCATGCCTTCCTTCTCCCTCCCTGGGACCGTGAGAAGGTTTTCACCTTCACTGCCCTTAGCCACGTCCTTCTTCCCTGTCACCAGAGACAGCAAAGAGGACCTCTTGCTCTCCGGCTTCTTGCTCTCTTTGGCTTCTTTTGGGGCCTCCGAGTTTGCAGGGGCCGTGTTTTCCCTGAGGTCCCCACTGACCAGCGGGGCAGGTCGGTAGGATGGCAGGGTCATAGACTTCAGGGAGTCCTTGGTGGAAGATTCAGAGAGCCTCCTGTCAGAGGACAGCCCACCTCCTTCAGCAGGCTCCTTCCAAGACCGAGACACCAGGTTCTCGGTAGATGAGAACAAATGCTTCTTCCTGAAGCCCTGGGGGGATGGGGAGGAAGACGGGCTGCTGTCCTTGGTCTCATCCTTGGCTTCTGACTGCTCTAGGTAAACATGGTTCCCATTGATACAGACATTAGAGCGGGAAAGGACATCATTCTTAGACCGAAGGCCACCAAGAAAGGAAAGTCCTTCCTTCTTGGGAAGGGTGAAATTGACCTGGTTCAGTTGCTTAAGATCCGTACTCGACGTTCTCTTGTGTGACATGACTTTGGGAAGAAAAACAAAGAACAGAAAGGGGATAAGACATTAAATAAGTGGTTTGCAGCATGGGGGGAATCTGTCAATGTCTGGATACATTTCTGGTTGTCACACTTGGAGAGGGTGTGTAGCTATTTGAATCAAGCAGATGGAGAACAAGGATGATGCTGAACATCTTACAATGTACAGCATGCCCCCCCCCGCCCCCCGACAAAGACCTGTCCAAACTGTCCACAGTGCTGAGTCTGAGAAACCCTGGATTAAACCAATGAAAAGGGCAGCACTCTTCATAGTAGCAGAATCTGGCCAATGGGAGGGATTGAGACATTGAAATTGAAGTTCAAACTAGGCACTTATGCCAGGTGCAGTGCCTCATGCCTGTACTCCCAGCAGTTTGGGAGGCTGAAGAGGGCGGATCACCTGAAGTCAGGAGTTCGAGATCAGCCTGAATAACATGGTGAAACCCTGTCTCTACTGAAAATACAAAATTAGCTGGGCGTGGTGGTGCATGCTTGTAATCCCAGCTACTTGGGAGGCTGAGGCAGAAGAATTGCTTGAACCCAGGGGATGGAGTTTGCAGTGAGCTGAGATTGCGCCGTTGCACTCCAGCCTGGGCAACAAGAGCAAAACTTCATCTCAAAAAACAAACAAACAGACAAAGAAAAAAAACACAAGTAATTCAGAGCTAAAGGAACCAGATTCCTTGGCTTCTGATGGGCTATATCCCATGAGGGTTAATCACATCATAGGAACTAAATAACTACCTGATGAATTAATGAAATAGCAGAATTACTATAAGGTTCCATGGTTTTGCTCTTGAAAAAAAAAAAACCTTGGAGACACTCATTCTGTTAGCTCTAAAAGCTTGTACTAATGGACATAAGTTATAGAGCCAAACACTCTAGAAAAGGAATTTCCGCATTTTTAGAAACCAGAGGGCTTAGAAATAGAGAGGGCATCTCAGCTGTGTGCAGTGGCTCACAACTGTCATACCAACACTTTAAGAGGTTGAGGCAGGAGGATTGCTTGAGGCCAGGAGTTTCAGCCTGGGCAAAATAGTGAGACCTCATCTCTAAGAAAAAAAAAATTTTTTTTTAATTAGCCAGGTGTGATGGTACACACCTGTAGTCCCAGCTCCTCAGGAGGCCAAGGTGGGAGGATCCCTTGAGCCCAGGAGTTGGAGGCTGCAGTAAGCTATGATTGCGCCACTACACTCCAGCCTGGGCAACAGAGCAGACCCTGCCTCTAAAACAAACAAACAAAAAATATTTAAAATAAAAAGAAACCGGGCATCTTTTTTTTTTTCATTCTGTCACCCAGGCTGGAGTGTGGTGGCATGATCACAGCTTACTGCAGCCTCTACTTCACGAGCTCAAGCAATCCTCCTACCCCAGCCTCCTGAGTAGCTGGGACTACAGGCATGTGTCATCACACCTGGCTAATTTTTATATGTTTTGTAGAGACAGGGTTTCACCAAGTTGCCCAGGCTGGTCTTGAACTCCTGGGCTCAAGAGATCTGCCTCCCTTGGCCTCCCAAAGTGCCGGGATTACAGGAGTGAGCCACCATGCCTGGCCTTAGAGAGGGCATCATTTGTTTTTTTGTTTTGATTTTTTTGAGACGAAGTCTCCATCTGTCACCCAAGCTGGAGTGCAATGGTGCAATCTCGGCTCACTGCAACCCCTGCCTCCTGGGTTCAGGCAATTGTCCTGCCTCAGCCTCCCGAATAGCTGGGAATACAGGCAAACACCACCATACCCAGCTAATTTTTGTATTTTTGTAGAGATGGGGTTTTGCCATGTTGGCCAGGCTGGTCTTGAACTCCTGATCCCAGGTGATCTGCCTGCCTCAGCCTCCCTAAGTGCTGGGATTACAGGCGTGAGCCACTGTACCTGGTCAGAGAGGGTATCTTAACCAGGATTACTCACCATTATCATTACCACTGCCACCACGATTTTGTAACTGAGGAATTGAATTAAACTCTTTATCTTAAGATTTGTCCGTTTCTTCTCTCTCAGAACGAAGCAGGCTAAGTGGAGGAAGAGAGGTCAAGAGGGAAGATACGGAAACTCACCGTCTGAGGCCGAGGAAGACTCATCCTCATTGTCATCTTCGTCCCACTGGGACTGAAAGTCTTTGGGACGAAGCAGCACTTTTTCTGGCTTTGAAGTCGGCAGGACAGACATGGACTGGGAAAGGGGCGTTTTCTGCAGAGTCGACTTGGAAAATAGGGTCTTGATCTTTGATTTCTTTTTCTTGTCTTTGGGCACAGACTCATCATCACTGTCAACTGAGGGTGTTGTGCTGGGGACGATGGCAGAGGCGGTGTCCGACCCACTGTCCTTCTTCTTCCCCTTGATCTTGTCCTTCAGTTTTCCAAAAGGATTCCGAGACTTGTCTTTCATGGAAAGGTCAAACATGCTGGCAGTCATGTTGTTTCTCATAAACTGAATGTCAACTTCAATTTCTCCTCGCTCCTTGTCTTTCTTTCCTGGTTTGGACGTCAACTTATACCACCTGAAAGGAGAAAGGCTGAGTTACCTTTGAATGGAAAAGACTGCAAAAATGTTCACAATTGCCATGAACTGGCCTCTCTTCTCCACTACCAGCAACCTGTTTGATGCATGCATTCTTAGGCTTTCTCTTTGGGGAGATCCAGATGAGAGCAGATTTTTTTTTTCTTTTTAAGACAGAGTCTTCGGCCGGGCGCGGTGGCTTAAGCCTATAATCCCAGCACTTTGGGAGGCCAGGGCGGGTGGATCATGAGGTCAAGAGATCGAGACCATCCTGGTCAACATGGTGAAACCCCGTCTCTACTAAAAAATACAAAAAATTAGCTGGGCATGGTGGCGCGTGCCTGTAATCCCAGCTACTCAGGAGGCTGAGGCAGGAGAATTGCCTGAACCCAGGAGGCGGAGGTTGTGGTGAGCCGAGATCGTGCCATTGCACTCCAGCCTGGGTAACAAGAGCGAAACTCCGTCTCAAAAAAAAAAAACAGACAGAGTCTTGCTCTGTCACATAGGCTGGAGTAAAATGTTACAATCTCGGCTCACTGCAGCCTCTGCCTCCCAGCTTCAAGTGATTCACCTGCCTCGGCCTCCTGAGTAGCTGAGATTACAGGCACTGGTCACCACGTCCGACTAATTTTTGTATTTTTAGTAAACACAGGGTTTCGCCATGTTAGCCAGGCTGGAATCGAACTCCTGACCCTTAGGTGATCTGCCCGCCTCAGCCTCCCAAAGTGCAGGGATTACAGGCATGAGTCACTGCACCCAGTAGAGAGCAGAATTTGCACTTTTATTTGTATTTCTTTTGTTCATTTTTTTTAAATTTTGCATTTTATTTTTGAGAAGACATGCACTACTAGACAAAGATAGGATCCAGTGTTGTACTTAGCATATAATAACGTAGAATCCTGATTCAATAAAGAGTTCATTCTAAAAATAAAGAAAAAAATATTCCATGGAATCACTTCCGATGACTAAAGTTTCCTTCAGTAGAGTAAAAATGCAAAGATCAGGGCCAGGTGCAGTGGCTCACGCCCGTAATCCCAGCACTTTGGGAGGCCCAGGTGAGTGGATCACAAGGTCAAGAGTTCGAGAACAGCCTGGCCAATATGGTGAAATCCTATCTATACTAAAAGTATAAAAAATTAGCTAGGTGTGGTGGCAGGTGCCTGTAGTCCCAGCTACTCAGGAGGTTGAGGCAGAAGAATCGCTTGAACCCAGGAGGCAGATGTTGTAGTGAGCTGAGATCATGACATTGTATTCCAGCCTGGGGACAGAGTGAAACTCCATCTCAAAAAAAAAAAAAGCAAAGATCATATACAAACAGCTAAGAAGGGTGGCATGCAAATGTATAATTAAATCTCCAAGAAAATCAAGTTTGTAGTAAGGAATAGTCCCTGCTAGGGAGTAATAAAACATACAAGGCAGAATTTAAAAGAAAAAAGGTGGGGGAGGAGACTGGGCATGGTGGCTCACATATGTTAATCCCAGAACTTTGGGAGCCTGAGCCAGGAGGATCACTTGAGGCCAGGAGTTCAAGACCAGCCTGGGCAACACTGCAAGACCCCATCTCTATAAAAAATTAAAAATTAGCTGGCATGGTGGTATGCACCTATAGTTCCAGCTGCTCAACAACATGAGCCTAGGAGTTCGAGGTTGCAGTGAGCTATCATTGCACCACTGCACTCCAATCTGAGTGACAAAGCAAGACCCTGTTTCTAAAAATAAATAAATAAAAATAAAGAATTTTTTAAAAAGAGTGTAATCAGGCCAGGTGCAGTGGCTCACGCCTGTAATCCCAGCACTTTGGGAGGCAGAGGCGGGCAGATCACCTGAGGTCAAGACCTCGAGACCAGCCTGGCCAACATGGCGAAACCCCATCTCTATTAAAAATGCAAAAATTAGTTGGGTGTGGTGGTGAGTGCCTGTAATCCCAGCTACTCAGGAGGCTGAGGCAGGAGAATTGCTTGAACCCAAGAAGCGGAGGTTGCAGTGAGCCGAGAGCATGCCAGTGCACTCCAGCCTGGGCAGAACCAGACTCCATCTCAAAAAAAGAGTTAAATCAGTCAGTTAGAAAATGACAAACACTATATGAGTCTGCTTATGTGAGGTTCCTGGGGTAGTCAAATTCACTGAGGCAGAAAGTAGAATGGTGATTGCCAGAGGAGGGGAAGGAAAGAACGAGGAATTAATGTTTGATGGATATAGAGCTTCAGTTGGGGAAAATTTTAAAGTTCTGAAGATGGATGGCAGTTATGGTCACACAACAGCACAAATGTTCTTAATGACACTGAACTGCACACTTAAAAATGGGGCTGGACGTGGTGGCTCCGACCTGTAATCCCAGCACTTTGCGAGGCCGAGGTGGGCGGATCACTTGAGGTCAGAAGTTTGTGACCAGCCTGGCCAACATGGTGAAACCCTGTCTCTACCAAAATACAAAAAATACCCAGGCATCATGGCACATCCTGTAATCCTAGCTACTCTAGAAGCTGAGGCAGGAGAAACGCTTGAACCCAGAATGTGGAGATTGCAGTGAGCTGAGATCGCGCACTGCACTCCAGCCTGGGCGACAGAGCAAAATTCTGTCTTAAAAAAAAAGGGGGGGGATAAAATGCTAAATTTAATTTTATATTATGTTTTACCACAATAAAACAAATGGGGAATTGAAAAGGAAGCCTTCTTCCCCAGCTTAATAATCAGAAAAAGGAACATTTCAAACACTATTCAAGTATTACACTTGGTCATTTGCCATCTACTTCAAGATGTGGCAAATGACATTATATCAGTCCAGCTCCACTGAGAGACAAGCTTTAAAAAAGGAAATCTCCTCATGACATTCATTTTCCATCTAAGAGCCCTGTACCTTTAGTGAACTGTAAGAATGTGAGCCAGGCTGGGTCCAATGGCTCACACCTACAATCTCAGTGCTTTGGGAGGCTGAGACAGGAGGACAGGTTGGATTCAGGAGTGGGATCTTGCCTTGCTGCTTATACAGTGAGATCAGTATAAGCAACAAGGAAAGATCCTACTTCTCTAAAAAACACACACATATATATATGTGTTTCTGTGTGTTTTTGAGATAGAGTCTCGCTCTGTGCCCAGGCTGGATGGAGTGCAGTGTCGTGATCTTGGCTCACTGCAATCTCTGCCTCCTGGGTACAAACAATTCTCCTGCCTCAGCCTCCTGAGTAGCTGGTACTACAAGCGTGTGCCGCAATGCCCAGTTATTTTTTGTATTTTTAGAAGAGATGGAGTTTCATCATGTTAGCCAGGCTGGTCTCAAACTCCTGAACTCAAATGATTCACCCACTTTGGCATGAGCCACCAAGCTCGGCTAAAAAGTTTTTTTTAATTAGCTGGGTGCAGTGGTGCATGCCTATAGTCCCAGCTACTCAGGAGGTTGAGGCAGCAGGATCACTTGAGTCCGGGAGTTCGATGCTGTAGTAAGAGCTATGATTGCACCACTGTACTACAGCCTGCGAAACAGAGTGAGACCCTATCTCTTAAAAAAAAAAAAATGAGACCAGTTAGTAGCAAGACCATACAATGGGACAAATAACTCCAAATACCTGGTCTATAAAGAGCTGTCCACCAGGTCGCCCTCGCAAACTGAGTTCTCACATTCTGATGTTCTTTTCAGTGACCTATTTAAGGGCCAAGGGTTGTGGGCTTTAAGGAAATGATGGTTTTGCCCAAATGAGCACAACTTCCTCTTTCCCCTTCAGCTGTGGCTGGCGGCTTGCTCACAGGGCAGATCCCTGCCCCCACTGCTATGGCTCCTGCAACACTTAGAGGGAAGGTGCAGGGAAAAGTAGAAACCTAACACCTAAATAGCACCTACGGTATACCAACACTGTATACACTCGGAAACATCATTCAGCCTCACAAGAACGACACGGAGTGGATATCATACCCGTTTTACAGATGAAGAAATTGAAGCTCAGAAGTCTGAAAATTAGCACAAAGTCTTGCAACCATTATGGGGTACAGTTAGGATTCCAAATCAGTTTCCCCAAAGCACCTATTCTCTCCCCTGTACCAAGATTCCTGATTTCAATTCTCTCCTAATTTACTTTTGACAGGCCATCTCTTGTAACATAGAGAAAGGAGGGCTCAAATTTAAATTCTTTTGAGAAACATTTAAGTTTCTAATTTAAATGTCCAAAGAGGAAAGAACTAAAAATACAAAAATTAGCTGGGTGTGGTGGCGAGCGCCTGTAGTTCCAGCTACTTAGGAGACTGAAGCTGGAGAATCACTTGAAGTGGGGGCGGGGCACAGAGGTTGCGTGAGTCAAGATCGCACCACTGCACTCCAGCCTGGGCGACAGAGCAAGACTCCATCTCAAAAAAAAAGAAAAAAGAAAGAAAGAAGAAAGGGAGGAAACTAACATAGCCTGCCATCAGTCGTAAATCATTAAGATTACTTAAAGGCTAGTACACAAAGTCATCAAGAACTTAAAATGAATTCACAAAATACAGCCAAGAAAGGATAAAATTACATGAGCTATAATTTTGGACATTTAAGAGAAAAATCTCTTATAGTTTTTATAAACCCAATCCAGAGCTGGGCAAGCAGGGAGTGGTAGCTGTTACAAGATGCAAGACCTTTATTTTTTCTTTTTTTTTGCAACAGAGTCTCACTCTGTTGCCCAGGCTGGAGTGCAGTAAGTGGGATCATAACATACTGCAGCCTTGAACTCCTGGGCTCAAGCGGAAGATGCAAGGTCTTTATACACAAAGTCACTCCTGCCAGCCTAGTGTCTTTCCAATCGTCTTTGCAGGGCCTGGCCTGGAATAGTTTGCGTATTTGTCACTTCGATTTTGAGAGGATTTTTTGTATTTTTCTGACAGTCCTGTGGTAAATGGTAGCCTTGGTGATGAAGGGTGTTTAGCTTTTGTAAATACCAATTGCAGGCACCTGAAAAGGAGAAGCTGCTGAACGCTGACTGAGGAGGTTTCGATGACCTCGTCAACCGCAGGCAGACAGCGCGCTTCACCTCCCTGCCC